TCTCTCTCTCTCTCTCTCTCTCTCTCTCCCTTTTTCTCTCAATAAAGCTCTAGAAAGGTTTAAAACTGACTAGTATCCAAATTGTAGTAATTTTCCAACCTTGGCCTCCAAAGTTCTGAGACTGCAGGAGGGAGCGAAGTCCAGCCTTTTTTTTTTTTTTAATTTATTTATTTATTTTTTATTTTTTTTTTGGTTTTTTGAGATGGGTTTCTCTGTGTAACAGAGTCCTAGCTGTCCTGGAACTCACTCTGTTGACCAGGGTTGGCCTTGAACTCACAAAGATCCCCCTGCCTCTGCTTCCTGACTGCTGGGAGTAAAGGTTTGCACCACCATGCCCATTTCCCCCCCTTTTCATAGGTGTGTGGGGTGTGTATGTGGACGCCTGTTCACACGTGTGCTGGTGCATCATATCAGAGAATGGAGGCAGGTGTCTTAATCTTCACCTTGTATATTGAGGTAGGGTCCCTCATTTGAACCCAGAGCTCACAGATTTGCCTAGTCTAACTAGCCAGCTTGCTCCAGGTGCCTCTGCCTCCTGAAGGCTAAGATGACAGGCAGGCCATCATGCTACCCAGCAGTTATGTGGATTCTAGGAATCCAAATCTGGCTCTTTTGCTTGCTCTGCAAATGCTTTATCCACAGAGCCATTTTCTAGTCCTCAAGTCCAGCTTTAAAGGTTATTTTTCTGACTTTTCTCAAAAAGTGGTCTGCGAGCTATTAACATGAGTGACACCTGGCAACCTTGATCATTCCTGGGCATACTCTATGTATGTATTGGCCTGCATTTAAAATAGTTCCTAAGGCTTTATATTAAAACATTTCTGGGCTGGAGTGATGGCTTAGCAGTTACAAGCACTGGCTGTTCTTCCAGGGGTCCTGAGTTCAATTCCCAGCAGCCACATGGTGGCTCACAACCATCTGTAGTAAGATCTGGTGCCTTCTTCTGGCCTACAGGCAGATGTACAGACAGAGTGCTGTATATATAATAAATAAAATATTTTTAAAAGAAATCTTTATTTTATTTTTATTTTTTATTAGGTATACTGTGTTCTGCCTGCATGTATCCCTGCAGGCCAGAAGAGGGCACCAAATCTCATTATAGGTGGTTGTGAGCCATCATGTGGTTGCTGGGAATTGAACTCAGGACCCCTGGAAGAACAGCCAGTGCTCTTAACCTCTGACCCATCATCTCTCCAGCCCAATAAATAAAATCTTAAAACAACAACAACAAAACCATCCCCCCCCCTTTTTTTTTAATGAGACAGAGTTTCTCTGTGTCGCTTTTTTTTTATGAGACAGAGTTTCTCTGTGTCGCTTTGCGCCTTTCCTGGAACTCACTCTGTAGCCCAGGCTGGCCTCAAACTCAGAGAGAGCCACCTGGCTCTACCTCCCGCCTCCCGAGTGCTGGGATTAAAGGCGTGCGCCACCACAGCCCGGCTTCCCCCCCCCCCTTTTTTTTTTGAGACAGGGTTTTGCTTGGCAGCGCACGTGGCATTGAACTTGTGATCCTCCTGCCTCAGCCTCTCAATGGCTCAGACTACAATCGCTCACCATCAAATTCCCCACATTTCCTTCGATCATGGGTCTCATTTTGTAGGGGAGACTGATAATTTTCCTTCCTCAGCCTCTACAGAGTTGGGATTACAATGGGCATTACCATACCAGTTTAAAAATTTTTAATTATGTTGTCTCCCACCCCCACCCCCACCCGCCATCTTGGAGCTGTCGGAGGCCTGCTGGGTACAGGACTTCTAAAAGGCAAATGTGTCTGGAAGGCTTTGGTGCAAGGCCATTTTTGCTGGCTATAAGCGAGGTCTCCGGAACCAGAGAGAGCACACAGCTCTTCTTAAAATTGAAGGCGGTTATGCTCGAGATGAAAGTGAATTCTACTTGAGCAAGAGATGTGCTTATGTGTATAAAGCAAAAAACAACACAGTGACGCCTGGAGGCAAACCGAACAAAACCAGAGTGATCTGGGGAAAAGCAACTCGGGCCGTGGGAACAGCGGCATGGTTAGTGCCAAATTCCGAAGCAGCCTTCCTGCAAAGGCCGTCGGACACAGAATCCGTGTGATGCTGTACCCTTCCCGGATTTAAACTAATGAAAAGTAAATAAATAAA